TTATTAGTTAACTTTACCTTCATGTTGGGAACAGATTGAACCAAAAAACTCAGACATGTTCCAACACTCTTCTACTGAGTTGTGTTCCCAGTCCTGTTTGTTTATGATTTTTTGGTTTTGGAGATTATAATAGAATTACTTCATTTTCTCCCTTTTCTTTCCTCCCTCCTTCCCCTCCCATACACTTCTTACCTACTTCTCTTTCAAATTCATAACCTCTTTCTTTAATCATTGTTATGTGTTTGTGAGTATGTGTGTGTGCATATGTGTATGTATTTTTAAATATATAAATACAACCTGCTCATTCCATATAATTTTACTTGTATGTATATGTTTTCAAGGCTTAGCATTTGGTATTGGATAGCCAGTTGATGTACTCTTCCTTGGAGAAGACTGTTTCTCCCTACTCAGACTTACTTAGTTGCTGGTAATGCTTTGTCTAGAGTTAAGGCCTCGGGGGCTTTCCCCATCCACATTAGAGTGACTATTGCTCTCATCTTTGTTTAGGTCATGTTTTGACAGCTGTGTTGGTGAGACTTCATGGGTGTAGAAATTCCAACTTTTTTTTAATTAAGAGGTTTTTTTATAAAAAAAAACAATCTTTTCTCATTTTACATAGCTATCCCTGCTCCTACTCCTTCCCCTCCTCGGACTCCACCCTTCCCTCTACTCTACCCCCATCCACTCCTCAAAAAGGGTAAAGCTTCCCATGGGAAGTCAACAAAGTCTGACACTTCATTTCCAGGCAAGACCAAAGGCTTCCCCCCTATATCTAGGCTGAGCAAAATGTCCCTCCAAAAAGAATGTGCTTCTGGACGCTAGTTCAAGCACTAGGGATAAATCCTGATCCTATTGCCAGTGCCCCCACAGACTCCCCAAGCCTCACAACTGTCCCTCACATTCAGAGGGACTAGTTTGGTCCTGTGTAGGTTCGCCTGCTGTCAGTCCGGAGTCACTGAGTTCCCACTAGCTCAGGTCAGCTGTTTCTGTGGGTATCCCATCATGGTCTTGACCCCTTTGCTCATATTATTGCTCCTCCCTCTCTTGGGCTGGTCTCTGGTAGCTTGGCCTGGTGCTTTGCTGTAGATCTCTGTATCTGCTTCCATCAGTTGCTGGTTGAAGATTTTATGAGGACAATTAAGGTAGTCATCAATCTGATTTCAGAGGAAGACTAGTTTAGGTGTCCTCTCCACTGTTGCTTAGAGTCTAAACTGGGGTCATTCTTGTAGATTCCTGGGAATTTCCCTATTGCCATGTATCTCGCTATCCCTTTAATGGCTCCCTCAATCAAGGTATCTTTCTTTTCTCTCCCTCGCTGTCCTCCCCCTAATTGAGCATCCCATTTCCTCATGTTCTCCCTCTCCTTTCTCTTTTTCCCTCTCCTTTTCCTTTTACCCTCTCTTCTCTCCTCCCCCCAAATTTTCTCAGGAAGTCTTATCTGTTTCCCCTTCCTAGGGGGATCCACATACTTCTCTTTTAGGGTTCTTATTACCTAGTTTCTCTGGGATGATGGACTAAAGGCTGGCTGTCCTTTGCTTTACGTCTTATATCCACTTCTGAGTGAGTACATGTCATGTTTTCTATCTGAGTCTGGGTTACCACACTCAAGATGTTTTTCTTTTTCTAGTTCCATCCATTTCATGTAAATTTCAAATTTTTTTTAGTACTCCATTGTGTAAATGTACCACATTTTCTTTTTTTTTAATTTATTTATTTATTAAAGATTTCTATCTCTTCCCCGCCACCACCTCCCATTTCCCTCCCCCTCCCCCAATGCAGTCCCCCTCCCATCAGCCCAAAGAGCAGTCAGGGTTCCCTGCCCTGTGGGAAGTCCAAGGACCACCCACCTCCATCCAGGTCTAGTAAGGTGAGCATGCAAACTGCCTAGGCTCCCACAAAGCCAGTACATGCAGTAGGACCAAAAACCCATTGCCATTGTTCTTGAGTTCTCAGTAGTCCTCATTGTCCACTATGTTTAGCGAGTCCGGTTTTATCCCAGGCTTTTTCAGACCCAGGCCAGCTGGCCTTGGTGAGTTCCCGATAGAACGTCCCCATTGTCTCAGTGTGTGGGTGCACCCCTCACGGTCCTGAGTTCCTTGCTTGTGCTCTCTCTCCTTCTGCTCCTGATTTGGACTTTGAGATTTCTGTCCGGTGCTCCAATGTGGGTCTCTGTCTCTGTCTCCTTTCATCGCCTGATGAAGGTTAATATCCAGGAGGATGCCTATATGTTTTTCTTTGGGTTCTCCTTATTTAGCTTCTTTAGGATCACTAATTATAGGCTCAGTGTCCTTTATTTATGGCTAGAAACCAAATATGAGTGAGTACATCCCATGTTCCTCTTTTTGGGTCTGGCTTACCTCACTCAGGGGCATCTAAAATGTCTCCAGACCCTGTTAGCTCTATGGGCTGACAAGGGAGGGGAACTTGATTGGAGGAGGGGGAGGGAAATGGGAGGAGGTGGCGGGGAAGAGATAGAAATATTTAATAAATAAATAAACGGAAAAAAATAAAAATTATAAAATGTCTCCACGTTCTGATTATTCTGAATAATGCTACTATAAACACAGTTGAGCAAATGCCCTTGTGGTATGAGTGTACATCCTTTGGGTACATCCCAAGAGTGGTATTGCTGGGTCCTGAGGAATATTAATTCCTAATTTTCTGAGAAACCACCACACTGGTTTCCAAAGTGGCTGTACAAGTTTGCACTCCCACCAGCAATGGAAGAGTGTTCCCCTTACTCTACATCCTCTCCAGCATAAGCTATCATTAGTGTTTTTGATCTTAGCCATTCTGACCAATGTAAGATGGTATCTCAGAGTCATTTTGATTTGCATTTCCTTGGTGGCTAATGATGTTGAACATTTTCTTAAGTGTCTTTCACCCATTTGCAATTTTTCTGCTGAGAATTCTTTGTTTAGATTTGAACCCCACTTTTTGATTGAATTATTTGGTAATTTGATATGTAGTTTTTTGAGTTCTTTATAAATTTTGGAGATCATTCCTCTCTCCAATGTTGGGTTAGTGACGATCTTTTCCCATTCAGTAGGCTACTGTCTTTGTCTTAGTGACTGTGTCCTTTGCCTTACAGAAGCTTCTCAGTTTCAGGAGGTTCCATTTATTAATTGTGGTTCTCAGTGTCTGTGCTACTGGTGTTATATTTAGGAAGTGGTCTCCTGTGCCCATACATTCAAATTTGCTTTCCACTTTCTCTTCAGTAAGGTTCAGTGTGGCTGGATTTATGTTGAGGTCTTTGATGCATTTGGACTTGAATTTTGTGCATGGTGATAGATATGGATCTATTTTCATTCATCTACATGTTGACATCCAGTCAGTTATGCCAGCACCATTTGTTGAACATGCTTTCTTTTTCCACTGTATAATTTTAGCTTCTTTGTCAAAAATCAGGTGTTCATAGGTGTGTGCATCAATATCAGGGTCTTCAATTCGATTTCATTGGTTCATCTGTCTGTTTTTCTGCCAATACCAAGCTGTTTTCACTACTGCAGTTCTATAATAGAGGTTGTTGTCAGGGATGGTGATGCTTCCAGAAGTTCCTTTATTATAGAAGTTTTTTTTTCTATTCTGGGTTTTTTGTTTTTCCATATGAATTTGAGTATTGTTCTTTCAAGGTCTGTGAAGAATTGTGCTGGGATTTTAATGGGCATTGCATTGAATCTGTAGATTGCTTTTGGTAAGATTGCCATTTTTACTATGTTGATCCTACCTATCCAAGAGCATGGGAAATCTTTCCATTTTCTGGTAGCTTCCTCAATTTCTTCCTTCAAAGACTTAAAGTTCTTTTTGTACAGGTCTTTTACTTCTTTGGTTAGTGTTGCCCCAAGATATTTTATGTTATTTGTGGCTACTGTAAATAGTGATGTTTCTCTGATTTCTTTGTCAGCACTTTTATCATTTGTATATAGGAGGGCTACTTATTATTTTGAGTTGATCTTGTATCCTGCCCCATTACTGAAATGGTTTATCAGCTGTAGGAGTTCCCTCATCGAATTTTTGGGGTCACTTATGTATACTATCATATCATCTGCAAATATCGGCAGTTTGACTTCTTCCGTTCCAATTTGTATCCCTTTGATCTCCATGTGTTGTCTTATTGCCCTCGCTAGGACTTCGAGTACTGTCCTAGGTTTAAATAGGTTTGGAGAGAATCAATGAGACAAAGAGTTGATTCTTTGAGAAAATCAACAAGATAGACAAACCCTTATCTAAACTAACCAAAAGGTAGATATGGAATATGCAAATTAACAAAATCAGAAATGAAAAGGGGACATAACAACAGATACAGAAGAAATCCAGAGAATCATCAAGTCATACTTCAAAAACCTGTACTCCACAAAATTGGAAAATTTAAGGAAATGGACAATTTTCTGTATAGATATCACATACCCATTTTTTGGCATACTTTGTTTACCTGTATGAGAGACAATGCGGGAAAGCAGCTGTAGCTGTTCCTCGAAGGACCCACTGCCATATATTCAAAGAGCAGACACTAGAGAGAACAGAAATCTTGTTGGAAAACCTCTTTCCTAGGAGCTGCCTCCTGGCTGCCTGAAGTTCTCTCTTGGGGCAAGGAGAAAAGGAGAAAAGGAGAAGTTGTTGTCAGATCACAGAGAAAAGAATAGTGATCACACCTTTGCTCTCCCAGTCTCACATTCCTCCCTCCTTAGAGATTGTAGATGTTCCTTACAGTGGGTCATATGTGCAAAATTAACTGTTGTTTAACATTTGATGACAGTGGATTATTTGTGCTAGTTTTGTTTTCTTTCTTTCTTTCTTTTTTCTTTTTCTTTTTTTATTTATTTTTTGTTTTGTTTTGTTTTTTGTTTTTTGAGACAGGCTTTCTCTGTGTAGCTTTGGAGTTTGTCCTGGCACTAGCTCTTGTAGACCAGGCTGGCCTCGAACTCACAGAGATCTGAGTGTTGAGATTAAAGGGTACATCACCACTGCCAGCTGCTAATTCTGTTTTCTATCTTTCCTAGGAAAGACTGTATATTCACCATTGATCCTTCAACTGCTCGAGACCTCGATGATGCCCTCTCCTGCAGGCCTCTCACTGATGGTAGGATGGAAATTTCTCTGCTGCCCTGTGCAATGGGCCACCCACATTCCCATGTGCTGAATACCCATGTCCGTTTCCATGAGTTCCTTAGGCACCTTAATGGGCAAAGATGGGTTTGCTTCATTCCTGAACTTGGCTATACAAGCTAAATGTTGAGCCCCTGTGGAGGCTCTGGTGAGGGAGAAAATGAAAATGTCCTCTCACTAGCTATTTTTGGGTCTTAGAAGAGGAAGCCATGAGAGCAGAAGAGCTGCTTCTAACCTTGGCTCACTCCAGCATCAATCAGTATGAGAGATAATAGGAAGACACCTATGGGCTCTACCCCAAAAAAGAGACTAGTGTTTCCTTTAAGCTCAGCATGTAGGAACCTCCCTCAAGACATAATGTGCAGTGGGCAAAAGGCACATCCTCCTGATACATATTTGTCTAAGCCTGACCTGCAGAAGCCCCACTGCTCCTTATAGCTCTTTCTCTATTAAGAAAATTGTGAATGGCAGACTGTTAAGGGCCTTTTAAATATTCTTGAAGCTGTTAGGAAAGAAAAGGCAGGATTGCAGTCAGGGATGACTGTAGTAGGAAAAAAGCAGCTGATTGTCAAAGGCCATATGGAGGGTGTGAGGAAAACACCCTATCAATTCCCTCCATGTCCAAAGATACAGTTTCCAGCTATTTCTGGAAATAGAGGGGAGTCTTGATGACGACTGTGACTTTGGTTAATCTTGGAGATTACTTTGGGCTAACATGACCTTTGATAGTTTACCCACAAGACATGCACATCCTTTTGATTTTAGTCTGCTACAGAGCATTCATGCCCCACCTTCAAAGTATCCATCCTTCATCTTCCTCTGATGCAAACCTCTGCATATTTCCTTCTCTGTTGTAATAAGCAGTGATGACTAGTAAGCATAAACCAAGAGAGAACATGTTGACCAAAATTGCTTGGCTTCTTTTTGTAAGAGCTATCTCCACCTACCCCCCAAAATACTCCCATGGCTAAGGCTCATCCAGGCTAGGCAGTGCTCTGCTGCTGAGCTGTATCCTCAGCACATATTCTCAGTTACATGTTTCTGTAGTCTAAAACTAGAGCAGCTTATGTATGAGAGCAAACTTTGACCCAGTGTCTGAGCAGTCTCTGCTGTACACAGAGGTCTGAGCAAGCTTGCTCTCTCTGCATGTCCCTCTCCAAAGCACCAGCATGAACAATGCCTTAGGCAGAAGCCTGGTGGTACTGGGCCTTCCGTGGGCTCCAGCTCCTCTCTTTTAGTGGTTGAAACAGCTGTTCCACTCACTCGCTCCAGTTTTATAGTTAGTCGTTTATGGCAGGAGTATAATGTCTGTTTATCTCTGCTAGCCTCAAACTCCTAAACTTGTAGGTATAGCAGGGAGCTAGAATATGCCCTGCCTCACTAACCCTGCACAGCGGCATTATATCTAGTGTGCAAGTGTGTGGGGAAGGGTCTCATGAAGAAAATGGGTTAAAAAAATTACTGCAAGAGAAACAGATTAGTAGAAAATAATATTCTTTATTTGTCAGACCACAGAAAACCACACAGACATTGTTCAGCAGGAATTCAGACACAGTGAGGAAAATAACTTGTCAAAAGACTGAAATAAAAGGAGAAGAAGTAAGCCAGAGAAATGTCAGAGAGGCTTTACAAGTGTAGGCATGCAGACCTGGACTGGAGATGGGAGCAAGGTCCACTAAGGATGAGGTCAGATGAGATGAGGAAGAGAAGTGTAGAAACAAGTAGCAGAATAGAGAAAGAAAAGACAGATGGATCAGCCTGGATGTTGAGGAACTACCCACAGGTAGACACTGGAAAGTCAGGAGGACATGCTGGTTTGGGAGAGGATATCACATGAAGTTGCCTGTCTTGTGATACGTATTTATATGAATTACTGCTAGCCTATTTTAAAGGACAAGAGAATAAATAAGCTGAATAGATGATGTCATAAAAGTATAGTAGGAGAGCCCTGGAGGAAGGTAAGTGACACACCCAAGTGCAGACAGTGACAATGGGGTCATGAGCAGTTTTCCTCTCTGCTCTACTTTCCAGATTTTGTCATGTAGTAAGAGTAGCTTGATCACGAAAAGACTTCGTAGTAAAAAGTTATGAGGTGTCAGAAATCACAAGCTGCCCAGTAGTCTCCCACTGCACCAGGTTATCAGACCCTTCTGTCTGCTTGCATTCCAGAGATAGTTGACATCTGTGCATTTGGCGGGGCAGCAGCAAAAGGGAGAAACCAGGGAAGGCTTGGGGAGGTCCAAGGTGGTCAGTCAAGCATTTTTTTATGGTGGCACTTCCATAGTTGGCCATTGTGACAACTGATTCTGCCAAGATCATTTATCCAGGGAGATGAAAAGCAAAAAAGGCAAATCCAGTTTGGATTGAGATGGGGTTGGCTAAGTTCAGATTGCCTTAGTTACCATTTCATGTCAATTCCTACTTAGAGGGAAAAAATACTTACTACTTCAAAAAAATTATGTTTTCTGGTCATATTTACATAATATGTGTTTACTTAAAGAAAATACTGTATAAAAGTTATTTTTTCCTTTGGTCCCACAGAAATCGTCTAAACGACTATTCTGTGAAAAATAAGATACACAGACAGGTAGAGTCTAGCAATGTTCACGCTGCTTTTATAAAGTGCCAGTGTGCTCCGTGTCTTTCCTATCAGGTGCAAGATATAGATAATCAATTGTATGAAGTATTAAAGTTAACTTAGAGGGAGGGAGTGTGCCCCACACTTCCCTTCCAAGGCAGAGCTTCACCACTCATCCGATCTGGGGTCCACTCCTTCCTTTAGGGAAAGGAACACTCAACAGCAATGGCAATTCTTTCATTTTTGCTTAAGAAAATATTTAATAACAAGTGGAGTTGTAATGATATCCCAGAATCTAAAGAGAGTAAATCCCAGCTCGGTATTTTATGATTGTAACAGATTGCTTGCAGCACACCTCACAGTTGACCTCACCACTTTAGTGTGGGAATACCACAGCTGTAAGCTCACCCTCTGGTTCTTAATTACCCTTGCATCATTCACTTTATTGAATATCCAGATTGCATTTGAACTTGTTACCTTAAAGGCAACCCATTCTGCCATAAGATTGTGTCACTCTTTTGAAATCCTCCCTTGCAAGGTTCAGAAATAGTTACCTTTCTGCAGTTTTTCACTTGTTAGTCCCATTAATGTTCCTTAGTGCCTTACAGCAAAAATACAGTGTCTCATGTGAAAACTCTCCTAAACAAGAACTATCATTTACCTTCCAAACCACACCATCTCTTTCCTGTCTTGTGGCTGATAAAGTGTGAATCCATTTGCCATGTCATAGGGTCTTCCTGCCTCTGTGAAGTCTGGGATGTATGGCTTGTAAGCTCTCCTGGCGAGTTCAACTTTACTGGACAGAACTGGGATCTGGCTAATAGGTGCCCATTCTGCTCACTTACTGCTTCTCCATAGTGCCAAAGAGCAAAGTGTCAGGCAGACAGGTCATGGCTTTTAGCTTTAGTTGATTCTGGACCCTCACAATTCTCCAGCATCTTGTGTAATGTGTGATCTCTAATGTTTGCTCTGTCATTGAACAGAGCAGGGTTGTCCTTCCCAGGCTTAGAAGTGAATGAACAGAAGAGCAGAACAGATGCTAATGACTTGGGTTTCTATTTAGAGTGATGAAACAGTTCTGGAATTAAATGGTTGGTAGTTGTATAGTTTTGTGAAAATATTAAAACCATAGAGGGATAAATGAGTGAATGAGCAAGTGAGTGAATAATGAATGATGAATAATAAAAATAAATAAACAAATCTAAATCCACTTATTCATGATGCTTCCCGGAAATTAGAATTTATACCTTATCCATAATTATCAGGGATTTTAGTGGAATATCCATCTGGGTGCCTATATTCACATTCCTTTCACTTAACGAGGGTCATCCTTGTGGATTCCTGAGAATTTCTCTAACACCAGGTTTCTGCCTAACCCTATAATGGCTCTCCCTATCAAGATATCTCTTTCATTGCTCTCTCCTTCCATCCCTCCCCCAACCCTCATCTTCTTGATGCCTCATGTTCCCATCCCCCATCACCTCCCTTTTTACTCCCCTCACCGCAGTTTACCCAGGAGATCTTAAGACACAGTATCTACTCACTCATAAGTGGATATTAGATAATAAAGCAAAGGATAACCAAGCTATAGTCCGCAATCCCAGAGAAGCTAGGTTAAAAGGGGGACCCTAAGAGGGACACACATGGAGGGCCTCATGAATCCTTCTAAACCCCTCCCTGCTACTTCCTGTGTCTCTCTGCGTGTATCCTGGATCCTCCAAAACCTCTGTGGCTAATTTGGTTAGCCAGTTGCTTACTCTGCCCTCTGATTCAAAGGAAACTTTATTGGCAGTCTCAGAGTGTCACTGCAAACAAATATCCCACAACATTTCTGCCTATAATTCCTTTTTGGTTGACCTCATGTACCACAATTAAAACATCTGACCTTTTTATTTTTCTTAAAATTTTTAGAAATCACTTCTATCAAAATATGTGAGATCCAATATCAACTGTATTCCTGATCCATTCATCTATGGGTTCTGATTGCCTTTCAAGGCCTAATCACCCTTTTGCATTCCTAATTAGTATGTTCAAAAGCCAAAGATTCAATTAATATTTTTCTAACTTCTGGATCTGATATTATTCTATGTACAGCTGAAGTCAATCTTTGTAAAAAAAAAAAATCAATGAAGACTTCTTTTGGGCCTTGTATAATTTTAGTAAATAACTCAGCCCTCTTTCCCGATTCTTCAACCTTGTCCCAAGCATTCTAGGCTGTTGTAAACAGCATACTGCACACCTTCATACTGACTGACCTTCACCAAGAAGCTGATCTTGGGAAATATCAATACCTCTATCCCTATTTCATTGTTATATGGTCCTAGCTTCCTCTTTCTGCCATGTTTTCCATTGTAGCCGAGGACCAGCTTCCAATACTGCTATAGCTAAATCTTTCC